ATTGTTAAAAATTAAGCCTAATATCTTTTGTAAGCACGGGACTTGATATACATAACGTCCTAATTTGTTTCTCAGTGTTTAATAGCCTACATTTCATGCCCTTGGCACCACAGGTACAGAAATATGAGGGACTTCAAAAAGTTTGTAGTAAAATTCATTTACCTTGTAATTTTAGTTTTCCACTAACTTTGGAAGCCCCCTCATAAGTGAAGAGGTAACTTCTTCAGGGTATTTCTGTTAAATCTGAACCTCTTCAAAGAATATGTGTTTGTGATAAACTGGAAATAAGTAGAAAGTCTGTTGGTAGAAGAATGACTGTTGTTTAACGCTTTACAATTTATGTTAGTGGAGATTGTTTAAAAACATAAGAAAACTGTCATGTTAATGATAGGTTTTAAAAGACAGAATAAAAGAGCTAGATCTACATAGATACACACATACATACTGTGTTATGTTATACAAAAAAGCCGTAAAATCTCTTTTTCCCAAAGTGGTTTTATTGATGAGTGGTAGAATTATTTTTGACATCTTAAATTGTTTATATTTTTGTATATTTTCTAAATAAATGACAAAAAATTAGGTTTTTATATGGAAATGATACTGACTTTTACACTAAAATAGCATAAAGTATGAAAGAATAGGGACTTTTACCAAATTCATTGTGATTTTCAATTTTGCAGATCACGTGGGTCCACTTTGAAAACTTCTCCAGTATTTTGATAAATTAATTAGTGACGTTTGTGCATTATCTCAGCACATGTTGCTCTCAGGATTCTTTTTTTCTTTGTGTCAAGAATCGTCATTGGCTAGAAAAGGCAAAAACAAATAAACGAATAACAAGCTAGCATTTTTATTACTACTCAGCTTCTCTAATTGGGGATGCTGTTAACATTAAAGAGCCTTGTAGTAATCTAAAGTACTGATAGTTCATTTATTCGTGTTTTACCTAGATGCCATTAACAGTTAATCAAACATGGGCTGTATTATTTTCTCTACCTGAAAACAGAGAGGAAATTGTTTACTACATTTGAGGTGACTATTTCCCATTTAATTAATTAAATAAATTCTCCACAGTGCAATGTATAAATTATTTTGGTAGGAAATTTACCTTTGGGGACAAATGTATTTTAAATATTGACATTTCTTAGCAATTAATGTGTTTAATTTCCAGTGTACAAGAAAATAAGCATCAGGTGTACTGTGCCTTATTAAAGCGTTTCAGACTGTAGAATTCTTTTCAATATGAGAATAATGCCAAAGTGATATATTATTTTGTTTCCAATGCATGTGATGAATTAAACCTGATGAAGTGTATTTTATTCTTGCTTCTTTTATAATCTTGAATGAAAAGTGTCTACTTTTAGAGCTAAGTTAGTAAGCTGATTATTTAATGGCATGTTTTGGCTTATCTGCAAATTTTCAAAAATTATAGGATTGACAATTGTCTATTAACTTAATATTTATATTTTACAGTATATTATATATTTGTTACTGGTTTCATAATATTTAAGAAGCCATCTATCTTAAGACCCATAAGAACTTCATACATCGTTAACTCTGAGAACCAGTGAACTGCAGTTAGATCATGTCAGTTAGCCTAGCAATAATACCTTTGGGATTTGGAAGAGTGTGAGCTGACTGAACTTTTATTTTCACCAAAATCTCATTGCTTAGCTGACAGAATATGACTTTCCAAGAATTTTAACACTGACAGTCATAACAGTATTGACTTTTTCTTCTAATATGTTTGTTTATGTCTTGTTTTCATTGAGGAGTCTAAACCTGATGGATTGGTGACTGATACATCAACAGGTAAATATTTACAGCAGATAAGTGTATTTTACTTTCCTTTTTTTTTTTTTTTTTTT